CGACCAACATGTCAGGCTATCCCCGAAATCCCTCATACTCCGTCAGAGCTGCGCCCCGCTGCGCTCCAGAGCGGCTGCACAAAGCAAAGCCTACAGCCTCCGCTGTAGAGGGCATGCACGAGATGATTAAATTCAAAGCAGCAAAACATGCGGAAATGATCCAGGGTTTCCGCAAATCATTAAAAATAATTACAATTCATTAATTTTTATAATTTTTATTAATTTTTTTATTTTTCTGTGTAACAATAAACATATACCGAACCGAACTGAAAACCGTGGCCACGAAACCGTGAACCGAACCGAACCGTGGATTTTGTGAACCGTCCACCCCTAGTGGTGACATGTTCACATGAAGCTTCATGAACTGTGGGGATTGTTGAAGCAATTTGGCCAAACAGTTCGATGCCTCATCTCACTACTCTTAACCCCACTAAGAACATTTAAATTCAGTGAAACATTTGTTTGTTTTCATAAAAAAAAACGTGCAATTTAGTTCAATATTCAGCGAGTAATTACACTGAGTGGAGCTGTCGACCTCCCCAAGATGGCACCAAAAAAATCACTTCAGCGCCCATAGACGAAAACTGTCAATGTGGCGTCTACTCTTATATTATGTCTATGTTGAAAACAACATGACATCTAATCAGTTTTTTTGTTTTCATCTTCTTCCTTTTGCACGTGTTCATAGTGAACAGCTATGAGGTGCATTACCGCCACCAACTGGTAAGGAGGGTAACAGCTTCTTCATGGTTTGTAGATTCGTACTCCTACATTTGCGGCTTGTTATTGCAGTTCTCCAAAGTTGATAACTTTTATTGGTAACTTCTATAGACTTCTACTCTCACAACAGAAACATGTGGCATCATATGTAGGGAACAGTATACAAATATTTAGTTCACAATATGAATTCACATTTAAAGATTTAGACACATAGATGGTTTTATTGACTATTATCTTACCCAGAGGTTTTTCCTTTAATGATGTTTATTTGCAGGATCAATGTTATATTATAGCAAGAAAATTATCTGAAAGGTTTTCTTAAGGTTTAAATCAGAAAATCTAAAGATCCAGCTGAGGAGGTTGTTCAGAAAACAAGATTATTAGACAGAGTCAGTGTTTTTTTTTCATGCTTAACCTCTCAAGAGTCCCATTCCACCTCCTCACCCAAACTCCAATATTTAACCCTTCTTATTTCGTCCCCTCTGACTGAGGTGACCCTAACTTTCTTCCTTCCACTTATCCATCACCCATCCATCATGGATGCCTGGTCAAAAGAGCAGGAGGGCCGTCGAGGAGAAAAAGCGGAATCAATGAATTAAACAGGAGCTGCAGCGAGGAAGGTGGAGTATGTCGGACAAGTGGATGTGGTCCACAGCTGTCTGTTAGGCTGCACCCTGACCTTGAGGAGATAAGAAAGTTGGGAGACCCTCAGTCCGTGGGGTCTAACAGCATGCTGGAGGAAAAAAAAAAAAAAAACATCTCTGCACTTCATGAATTATTGAGATATTGGCCCACAGCTTCTAAAATATACAGGAGGGTGGTCTGTCTCTCCTTTCAGATTTCACGTACTGTCTGCTTCGTCCTTCTGTCTATCTTTCAATCGGTTTCCCCTTTCACTATCTGCGCCATTTCTCCCTCACCCCTAATCCCTCACGTCTCCTTCAGATTTGGCCTCTTGTGCAAATAGAGCTAAAATCACAACAAAAGACAGAAAAAGCCAAAGGAAAGAAAGAAAAAAACAACAACAGAGCATTAGAGAAAAGAGCTTGTTATTGAGATCTTAGCAGACTGTTCTCCTTCACTCAACGGGGGAGCATCCACCACCATCCAGCTGTCATGCATTTAAAACTTGTAGGGGAATAACCGCCGGTTCTTGTGTTACATCAGATGCTTGTAATGCACGCAGCAGCGAGCCGGCCCTGGAAATGAAGACATAACTATGATGCCTCCATTTATCTTTTTTTGTGTTTTTTTTTAGTCTAGATGAAGAAATTGTCCGCGTGTTTCTCCTGACATGTCTGCGTGTGCGTGATTCCATCCGTGGCTCCAAACGCGCTGCCCAGTGCAGAATCGTAGCCATAACAAATGAACAGAGGGGAGAAAATAAGACATATATGAAAGAAAAGCTGAGCAAAGGAGTGATTCTCTCTCTGGCTGCTGGAGATCTGTATTGTAAGCAGTTTCAGCTGTCAGCATTTCTTTGAGCTACCTCAAGGGGGGAGGAGGAAGGAAGGTGGAGTAGGGGTGGGAAATGTTGTAGTTTTATACCCTCCCATCCGCAGACACAAAGTCTTCTGTTTATTTGTACACAGTGCTGTTTATTTTACAGTTCGTTTGATTTTTTTTTTTTCATCTTGTGTCACAGAGGGAGGAGACGCACAATCCTGCAGTTTCACTTACAGGAGAAGTTGTCAGGTTCCGGCCTCGGGGTGGGGATAGGGAAGAAATTGTCAGCCGTCCCCCTTTTTCTGCTTTTCAGACCAACCGCCCCCCCCAGCCCAACTCCCCCCTCCCCGTACTCCTCCCCTTCCTCATTAAGTATTGATGTGGGTAGCCATACTTGCCATCTCAGCCTATTAATAATGCATGGCAGGTGCTGTTGATGTGGTCTCTCACACTGAGATTGAGAGAGGCAGGAATGGCAACACTGGGCTGCAGAGTAGCTACAGCCCCCCCGTCACACGGTGGTGCATCTGGAAGGGAGGGGGGCTTACATCTGCCCTGGTGACTTTATGACAGACGCTCAGAGATTGATACACAAGGTTGCGTCTAAGTCACTGTCTTTGGTTTGACTAAGAAAAAGTGCGCTGGTGACAAGCAGCTGAGTCCTCGTGTTGTTTTCTGTGTTTTATCATTCCTCGCTGACCTTTTTAAAGACTCACAGGTCATCTTAGAACAGCTCCTCTGATCTTTTTGTCTCTGTTTCTCCTCCTTCGCATGCAGGTTCTTCCTCAAGTTCTTCCTGAAGTGCAACCAGAACTGCCTGAAGAATGCAGGGAACCCTCGAGACATGAGACGTTTTCAGGTGAGCGAATCAAAATGCAACAGGCGTCCCTGTGACTGTCCAGCAGTATTACACGCTTTAGAAAACAGAGAAAAACACTAAGGAAAAGTTCAAAATACCTATCAAAAACTCAATAAACATGGACATTTTTTTAGTTCTAAAATTATTAATCTTTGTTTTTACCTTCCTGGTTAAATAAATGTTTATTTTAGACAATACTGCAAAAACATTCTAGAAATAAGTAAAAAAATTCTTAAATTAAGTGTATTTAACCTTAATTTTAGTAGGTAAATGAGATAGTTTGCCAATGGAATGAGTAATTTTACTCTTAAAATAAGATAATTAGATAAAATGCACTTGAAATAAGACGATGCAATTGTGTTTTCTTATTTTAAGTATAAATTGTC